TTGTGGAAACACCCAAAAGTTTTTTAAAATTTCCGTATGTCCATGTCCACACCCACAATCAGTTGGCCCCTTTTTACGTCTGCCACCACGTTTGTCAACGTGAATACCTGCCCATAACTTTTGCGCTACGAATATTTGTCTGCAAATGCATCTTTTAGTACATTTTCTATTTTTTCGTGGGCCATGACAGACCGTTGTCGTTTAGTTGTGCTATTTTAAAGTAAATTTATCTCATCTTGAATAAATATGATATGAGCAGACAGGAGAGGTATAATTATGTGTTGTATATTGCCTGTATCTGTACTGTTGTACATGCAGTAAGGAATACCTATATCGCTATATCGACAAATGATAGTTGTTAATGTCAGGTTGTAAAGGAACCTTTCATATGACGTGGCATAACTACTGGCAGATAAAAGGCCATAAAAGAGAGCACTTCTAATATACGGAGCATTGCACTGGAGGATTTTAAAAGTCTGCGAAAGCCATTTGCGTCGGGCCTATATTAAACCATAAAAGCAAAACCATCGTCTAACTTATGTACTACGAACGGCAATATTCGTTTCGTTTCTACGCTAAATTTTTCATTTTGCCGATAGAAATTGCCGACCGAATGCTTTGGTGACTACATTAAGAACTTCACCGACTGTTGTGAGTGCTTCAAGTGCATAAGTGTACCATTGTCAGCTTTATTGATTTATGTACATACGAACGTTTATGTACATCGGAACATATATGTATGTGTGTATGATGTGTTTTCGGTCGCTATCTTGAATTAATGTTCTGTAATTTTGTTTTAATATCCCGGATATGTAGTTTAGAGAGAGAGAGAGAGAGAGACAGAGGGTAAGTGGAGTGAACCACTTCATTCTCTTTGTTCTCTATTGTACTTTATAATCATTTAGATGATTTTGAAGAGTGGAGTACGCGTATTGTCTAAAGAACTTCGCCAACATTAGTTGCTCTGTGATTATTCTTCTGAAAAACTTGATTCCACACAATAAAAAAAGTCTCCTATTATGAAATTTTCACCGGCTGAGCTTTTTAAATATAATAAAAATAAAAAAAAACACCAAGTGATAAGTAAATACAAGACCAAAACAAGATTAATATAGTCATAGGTTTGGTCTTGCTGTTTAACAGTACGTCGTAACAAGACAAAATAAAGACTTCAAAACCAAGACTATTTTTGCTTCACTATACCAAAAAGTACAAAAAAGAATTAGATGGCCACCGTCTTCAGCAATTCTCCCATACAAAACAGGTCAAAAAGATCAAGGAGGATCATAAGTTCAGTCAATATGTATTAATTAATACAGGGAGATTGTACAACATAAGCTTCAGAAAGACAAAAATGTATTTTGCAAATAAAAAAGAGACCATAACAGCGGAATTTGAAAGAATGACAAGGTTTAGAAAGAGGATTCGTTCAAAGATACACTAGAAGATGTTAAAAAGAAAAAGGATAAGAAAATGTTAACAATAAATAAAATCTTTAACAGGATTGGATAGAGAATTCGGCAATGAGAAAGAACGAAAACGGATGTAATAAAATTGAAAATGATTGAGGAAATGATAGAAACGATAGAAAAACTGACGAAATAAACGAAATAACGAAAACAACCCTAACTAAAATAATTCAAAAATTATATGAAGAGTTTATATAAATACGGATGAAATAATAGAAAAAGAGTAGCTTGAATAAACTGACTTACATTTTCAAAAAATAAATTTCAGCGATTATATTCCACACTTTTTAAAAAATTATACATGTACCAGCAATATTTTCTGCCACTGTATGCTTTATACATACATACATCTACGCACCCTTCTCTAATCCATCTAGAAGGCATAATTTGAATGCATCATCCGACTATTATCTCATCTGTCCCTCAGTATGCTTAAAACATTCCCGATACATTTGTGTATCGTCGGGGCATCATCCCTACACGCTCACACATTTCGCATACTAATTATCCTGCTGTATTGCATTCAGCTGGAGTTTCGCTCTCTTGGAGTTGCGACTAAAGCCGAAGGTCAATATTAACGTTTCTGGACGTTATAACCGTGTCGACCGATAATCCGGAATTACACGATCGTTCAGTATTACTATCTTTGAACTTTCCCTATTGAATTGCTTCTGGTCATATTCAGATCTTCGGTATAAATATTTTTATTGGTAGGTCGATCAACGGCTACGGCTTATTTGACAGGATCATTAAGATTAAGTTTGAATTTGAAAGAAAATCTCGGAAAAGTAGAGAAAACTTCAACTTATTACTAAGAACATAAAAAAAATCAGCCTAGAGGTCTGATTATGTATACTGTATACGAATTTGGATTCAGCGACCCCAAAAACATATGGTATTCATAGCCCAATCCCGGTTTTTGTAGTGTTTTTTGAGGTTATGTTCATATTTTGACCCCTGGCCTAATTTTTTTTTATATGGCTGTGTAATCAAAAGCCAAAATGTATATTATTTACAGTAACTAATACTACAGTTCCGTCTTTTATTGGAAGGTTTTTTCAAGGTATTTTGCAACTTAGTACCCTGAAGAAAGCAAGAAAATTAAAATTACGTAAATACAGTGGATTTCGAGTATAACGACAACCAAGGGACCACTGTAATTTCGTCGTTATATTCAGAAGTCGTTACAGGCAAAATTAAAGAAGATACAGACACACACTGTTTTTCAATTTTGAAACAATTTTTAACAGTAAATGTACATCTGGAAGTCACACTTATTCAAAAGTTTACTAAACACAGTTGCTACCCAGAAACAACGGTAAAGGTCACCACACTTGTTGACTATTTGTGTGAATATAAACAAAAGATAAGAAAGTTCTTTGTGTCTTTAGCGGCCGACTCCGGTCGCTATATCTGCATGGGATTACTAGGGATTTGCTACAAATGATTCCTTAAAAACAGTCGCTACACCCGAACTCGGTGTTACATCCGAAGTCGCTATAGCTACATGAATTTTATACTAAAGTATGCTTTAAATTTAAGGGACTTACAAATGACATCGCTATAGTACAATGGTCGCTATAACCAAGGTCGTAATAAGTGAAATCCACTGTATAAACTTTTTTTCACGTTGCAGCATGCAATACGGGTTGTAAAACAAGTGCTATTTTCAGTTTCAACACTTCTACTTGATTTCCTTCCGTAGAAGGCTCTAATCTTCTTTTTTTTTTTTATTTGCTTTTCATTGTCTGGGTGTCTCGAAACCCCTCTTGTTACCGCTGTTTACTCATCCGACCCTGGGGAATGGGAATAAGACCTCAATGAAAAATTAAGCCCAGATGCTTTGTAGTTAATTAGGGGTTGTTAAAGCGGATGTCTACTGACCTTCCAAGGGAGCCGTCTTTGAGGCTTCTGCTAGGCAGCGCATAAAAAAAGATCCGCTTATACGGGCTCTCTTAATTGTGAGCTTTTTTCCCAAGAAAACATCCTTTGTTACTGAATTAAAGTGTAAAAAATAGATGAAACGACACACTTTCTTGGTTTCTCATTCACAGCCTTTTTGACAGTTACGCACACATATAAAAGAACAAAATGAAAAATTATCGTCACAGTTATTTTATTATTAATTAAATAGATGATAGCACAGGGTATAGTCGCCTTTAACAAATAGAAATCACTAACATGCCCGCGAATGGTTAATTAAGAAATTCAAAAAAAGATTGTCAAAGGTTTATGTCTAGAACGGGTGCGAAACGCGAACAGTGGTCGCGGCAGAAAAAAGATAGAGACTTTAGAAATGTGTTGTTACAGGCGAATAATGAGGATACCGTGGATAGAGAAGGTTAGAAATGAAGAGGTGTTAGAAAGAGTAAGGAAACAGAGAACGCTATGGAAGTCAATAAAAAATAGGCGAGAGAGATAGGTAGGACACATTATTAGGTACGAAGGGCTAACTGGAGACTTATTGGAAGGGGAAAGAGGGGTAGCGATGATTTTAGCTCAGGATAGGAAAAAGTGGAAGTGCCTGTCCAACCAATCTTAAGACTGACGACCTTATGATGACTTAAATAGTATAGACTTTCTAATTTTTACAACGACTTGACCATGTCTTTGAGAAGGTGTTTTACCAAACTATCTTGTCTATTTCTTATTAAAACCCAAAATGCCACATCCACACAGAGTCATGCTCCAAACATATACCTTTGATAATCGTTGTTTTACTTATCCTAAACTTTAAACGTTGTGTTTGCTATAATTTTGTCTTTTAATTCTGTAACAAACCAGCGAAAACGTATTTACGATTAAAGAGGTTATAAAGTGGGAGAAAGAAATAGGACAATCGTTGAGACATTAAGATTAGTTTTGGTTACTTATGCCCAAGGCGGTTGTAAACATAAATCTAAATCGTTCGAACAGAAGGAATGTTACATAAAATTCGATAATAAGAGTGGAGATATCCATCTGGTCGATAAACATTTTACTGTAAGTTTATAGGTCGTTACATTTGAGTTTTGTGGCCGCCATTCAGTTCGTTGGTACCAGATTGAAATTTTGTTGGAAAGATCAAACGGCCCATTTGCATTCTTAAGGGAAAAATAATTTTACAGGGCATAGTTAAGAGACGTCTTTGCCTGTTAGAAACTCTCTTTTAGAAACAACCTGTAATAAAAAATACCAGGACCACACATGCCGAAAAAGGTTTCAAAAAAACGAAAGGGATACAATTGTATTAATTATTCAATTTTTCATTAATGAAAATGAACACATCCAATAACTTTATGATCATTATACGAAATTGATTTTTACATTTCCTATTAGTTCTCTAATAAAACTAAAAACACCATGTTCCAAAACTATACAAATAATGTTTAAAAAAGCTTTAAGAATTAGAATTAGTTTGTGGAATTTCGGGCATTTGTTGGCACGGTTATATTCTGCTTTAACTTTTAGGTATTCATTCTAAATATAAATATTTTTTTAAATAAGTAATTAAAATTCCAAATTCTATAATATTGTCTCCGTTCTTTTCAGATTTAAAAAAGCAGTTTGAAGTGAGCCCAATGTCATCAAGGGTAGAAATAGGCCACCAGATGGAACTACGGTGTGTTCCACCGGCCGGATTGCCTCCTCCCAGAGTGTATTGGTTACGAGGAGGACAACCTCTAATGTCAGACACTGATGTTTTAGTGTCCAGCGAAGGCCACCTCTTAATTGGTCAAGCACGACCTCAAGACACTGGAAATTACACCTGCGTCGCGGAAAATATTGCTGCCAAGAGGATGGCATCACCAGCTCAAATCACCGTGTATGGTGAGTTTTATTTTTTGAAGAAATATACAAGATGTAATAGAGATAAGTGCCAAGCTTGTAGGAGGTGATAGAGCACTATAAAATATGAAAATTAACTAAATGTTTGTATGTCCGAATGTTCACCGTTTTCGAGAAAAACGTGGCTGAAAGTCCAGGTATTCCGGCCCTGGTAGAGAAATACGGCCCGCAACGCTGCACTCAATCAGCTAGTAATTATCTTCATTTTTTCTCATGTAGTTTGTTAGATTGGATTAAGTGTAATTCAAAGTGTTTATGTTAACTGTCAACCTACAGTAGTAGTTGCCGTTTACTCTTTACACGTTTAAACCTCGTCTAAGGCAATCGATGTGTAGTTTAATAAACTAATTCAACAATACAGCATCAATCATTAGAGTTGGTCAGTTATGTAGCACAATTTGACATGATACCTATTGGCGGGTTTGAACCATATCGCCGCTGTAGCAACGAAATCCTCAATTCCAAAGAAAATAATCCACAAAACAGTACATTATTTTTGCATCTAGCTTGCACCCTCCAAAGCTTGGCACTCATTTCTGTTACACACTGTATAGGTAACTTTAATGTTTTCGCATAGAGGGTCTTATTTTTAGTAAAAATCATTACCTAAATGACTGATGAGCAAATATTAAAAAAATTAGATTTCCTTTTAGTAGACAATAAATAGACATATATGAGTAACAAGTAAGGAAAACCTTAGAATTAATCATGACAATCTCATAGGTAAATCGCCTGATTCACTGCTTCTCCAGTATATTGTATAAAACCCTTAATAAATTATTAAATGTAAGTGAAAAAGTGAATACATTATTCATCAGCGATTCCACAACTTTTCGATCGAGATATAATTTATTCATTACCGAATGCACAAACTTCCCTTGTCGAGATACATTACACATTTATGGAATTTATGATCTATTAATTATTTACTACAATTTTCTTCGACAGAAATTAAAATGGATCAGTAAAATAACCCCATTCATTTTTCCTTTAGTAGTTTATTACAGTCATGAACATTCTTATATTATAGATACGATATCAGTAATTTCAGAGATAGCTACTAAAACCGCAAATACAACAACAAATGCTCCTTTTTTACTGTCAGCAAGACATTTAAAATTACCCTCTGTAGGAAATGGAACAAACAACCTAATTATATTTTATCGATTCCGTTTTATTGACTTATATCTTGAACATTTCGTGATGTAGCCATTTGTTTTAACTACTTGTCGATCGTATTCCCCGAAATAAAATCAGCATTAATTTCCTCAAACCAAACAAAATTCTTCAATTATATTGGATCGCAATAGCATTCAATGATCACAAACGAAACATACTAATTGTTGTCAAAACAACGAACTTATATATTATCGATACAAAATGTCGTTTATATTGTAAATAATTTGGGATTATTTTTATATACTAATTGTCTAAAGAATATATAAAACAAAAACATAATCTTTAACTTTTATTTCTCCAACAAAATATACGTGCTCTAAAAAATATAAATGTTTGTTAATATTTATGCTTCATTTCAAATCCTCCTAATAATAAGAAAAGTATTTTTTAACTCTCCCTTATGAAAAAGGAACAGAAAATAATAAAACTTCTAATAGTATTTTTTCGTCAAAGGGAATCTAATATGTAATATCGTGCAGTATTCCCGAAATAAGAATATTTATTTACTCTATTACCATTTAAAAGAACTCACAGGAGGGTATAAAAGAGAACGAGAAGAAAATCAATTACGTATGAAATAAGAACAAAAGGTTATGGGCAAAAGGCCTAAATTGAAAAAAAGTAGGTTTATTACATTAAGGTTAAATGGCCTACATTCCCTACATCTTGACATATCGATCTTGGAACGTTGGAACCACTATCGTCTACCCATGTATATATTACGCACACGGCAAACACTTTTGTACAAATTGCCAGCATGATTTATCCTTTTTAATTTACAATCTAACTCAACTGACATATTTGGTTAATATTTTAAATCCTTTACAAGTCTTGCACATGTCCCATTTATCCGAAAAGTCCATAAAAAAACAGTGTTGTCGTTCCACACAAGAAAGCGCACCTTAAGAATACATTTCAGTGAAATTTTTGCGTAAATAAAAGTCGAGCATTTTGCGAGTATCGCGTATACATGTAAGGCAAAATGGACACCGAACATAGACATTGAAAGCTCCAAAACATTGAAAAAGTTCATCGTGGGACTTTTCGGCATGACATGTTACATGTACCTGCAGGAATACTTCGAATAAAAGTACTGATCGAGAGTGAGGCACCAGGCGAGGCATCATCATTCTTTATCGCAATGGCCTTTATCAAGTTTGTTACTTTTGATACAATATTTGAAGTTGTTAGTTAAATCGTCAAATTATACAGAAAAGGCACTTGTCATTGTCGCAGATGACAAACACCTCCTGTTCAGGTGAAATCGAGGACATACAGGAAGAAGGTACACAATTCGAAGAATAACTTTTATGATTAATTGTTTGGGAGTGTTTCGTTGAGCTGCTCATTATTCAGGGTGGAAAGGACGACGTCTAACGCGTACGGGAGGTGGTTGCTCTCATTGTTCATATTTTACTTTTATAACCGCTCAAAAAGCATCCCTCTAATTCCGGTGAAAATGCCTTGGGGGGGACGTAATAACTCGATAACAAATTTGTAATGGATGTTGAACGTTAAGAAAATTTTAATTACGCGTAGCACTTGATGAAATGTGTGCACCATAAAAGAAATCGTGTGCTTTTCATCGATGGTAAACCTTTAAATTAATTAAATTTGACAAACGATAAAGAAAAGAAAAAAAACATTTTTAAACGCCACATTGACGTAAGAAGTTCCTTCTAACCTTGAGAGAGGTGGGAGATTAGGTTTCGCTTTCAGAACTAAAAGTAATGAATCCGGAAATATTTTCAGTGAGCTTTCACTGTCATCATCATCATAAGGTCATCAGTCCTAAGACTGGTTGGACACGTACCTCCACTCTTTCCTATTCTGAGCTAAACTTCGCATTTCCCTAAAACTAGAACAGCCCACATCCTTAACTATTTGCGAAGAGTAATCTAATCTAGGTCTACCTCTACCCCTCCTAACTCCTGTTTCTGCCTCTAATATGTCTCTGACTAGACCTTCATGCCTGAGAAGGTGTCCTACCAACCTATCTCGCCTATTTTTTATTGACTTCCATAGAGTCCTCTGTTCTCCTATTCTTTCCAATACCTCTTCATTTCTAACCTTTTCTACCCACGATATCCTCATCATCCGCCTATAACACCACATTTCGAACGCTTCTAACCTTTTCTTTTCCGCCGCTCCCACTGTCCATGTTTCGCACCCGTACAACGCCGTGCTCCAAACATACACCTTTAACAACCTTTTTCGAATTTCTAAATTAACCGTTCGCGAGCATAGAAGTGACTTCTTTTTATTAAAGGCGACACGACCCTGCGCTATCCTCTGCTTTATATCCCTACTACTCCTTCCATCCTCACTTATCTGACTTCCTAGGTATCTAAAATCAGCCACTTCTTCTAATTTTTCGTCTCCTATCTTTATATTCGCTCTTTCCCTACTTTTTCTTCCCTTGCATATCAGTATTTTAGTTTTACTTTTATTTATTTTCATACAGTACTGATCTGTCAGTACCGCTTCCATTTTATTTAAAGCTATCTTTAGGTCCTCCTTGCTAGATGCTAATACTGCTATATCATCTGCAAATCTAAGCATACTAATGTTTTGCCCTTGCACCTTTTCTTAGGTAATGTTACTACTACGTTCCGTTTATAATCCTCTGGGACTATCCCCGTTTCGTAAATGTGACTAACTAACTTAAACATACGATCTCTAGCTTTCACTGTAACGTTTTTAAATTAACAATAAACAAGCTGAACTAATTGTGAAATTATTCTTCTATGAAACGTCTAATCAGTATAATAAGTCATGAAATGATTTCAAGAAACGACAGGCCACCTACAACTATTTAACCTTTAGTCAGTTTAATGTCTCCTTTGATAAGAAAGTGGATAATAAAAAGGCACTTTACAACATAACTGATCGCTATTATGTTCCGTGTTTAATGGCTAATAAACATTTACTACGATAACAGCATAAGTTGATTGTTTCTTTACTGCATTTGTTAATGCGCGTAACTAATAAATACTCGTATAAATCAATTGATGTTTTTGTTGTCAGTATGCAAATTCCAGTGAAATTATGGATATTTTATAAATGATCAAAAAATTTCTTTTATTGCAGGCACTTTATAATATAATTACAAATATAAATACTTATATGCACATACAAGTTCCTTGGAACCGTAGTGAATCAACCTGTGCAGTGACTCCTTAATATTGCATTTAGATATGCTGCTCGATATATATAATAATAATTAATGATTCTTTAGTTAATTGAATTACTTATCATTTATTCAGTTTATTAGAGATTTTTTAGTTACTTCTCAGAGGATTATCTTGCCAGCAAAACATCCCCTAGATACAAATGTCTCTGTGAGTATATGCGCAAGCACTATAACTAGATGTGTTTCGTGGAAATGGTACTTGTAACGTTGACAAGAGCTCACTTTCTCTAATAAAACTTTTCAGTGTTTTTAACCGTATATTTACCAAACAACTATGTACAAACTTAAGGAACACTTAACAATTAACACTTAGAAGAAAAAAAATTAATTTAACAAGTCATAACTTAGCTTGGATAGATGAAACTTAAGGAGACTTAACGAGAGTTTCTCGAACACTTTTTTTTTGTACCCAAAAACTCAATTTATAGAGTTCAATCAAGTTGGGGTAGGCGGTAGGGGTGGTACCGCCACCCTCATCTCTTTCTCCGAAGGCACTTTGATGATAATAATAATAATGTTCTAGTATCTTGCGCGAACAAGATGGCGCGTGATGCGTTATGCTATGACTCATCCTAACGTTACACTTTTCGGTTTTATACCGTAGTAAATT